AGACCCCAACTGTAGTGCTCTCTGGGGTATATATGGGGAAAGGCAGTCCTGCAGGTATGTCGGACCCTGGCCATATAGGGCTTTAAAGGTAAGAACCAGCACCTTGAAGTGGATTCGATATGCTATTGGCAGCCAATGCAGTGTCCTCAGCACAGGCTGGATGTGCTCCCTCCTGGGGAGACCCATCAGAAGCCTAGCTGCAGCATTATGCACCAACTGTAGCTTCCGAATCTGCAACAAGGGTAGCCCTTTAGCTTGGAGAAACGACAACTGAGGGGTGACATGATTGAGGTTTATAGGATTATGCATGGGAAAGAGCAGGTAGAGAAAGAGGTACTTTTCTCCCATTCTCACAATACAAGAACGCGTGGGCACTCCATGAAATTGCTGAGTGGTCAGGTTAGAACTGATAAGAGGAAGTACTTCTTCACCCAAAGAGTGATTAACACTTGGAATTCACTGCCACAGAAAGTGGTGGCAGCTACAAGCATGGACGGCTTCAAAAGGGAATTAGATAAGCATATGGAGTAGAGGTCCATCAGTGGCTATTAGCCACAAGGTATAGATAGGGACTCTGGGGCAAGTGATGCTCTGTCTTCTTGGTGCTTGGGGGGGTCAACAGTGGGAGGGCTTCTAATGTCCTGGCCCCACTGGTGGACCTCCTGATGGCACTGGTATTTCTGGCCACTGTGTGATACAGAGTGTTGGACTGGATGGGCCTTTGGCCTGATCCAACATTGACATCTCTTATGTTCTTATGTTCTTATGTTCTTATGTGGACAAAGAGGAAGAATCCAAAGAGGAAGAATCGAAATCAAGTGACTCCGCTACCTCTGGAACGGATGAGGACTCTGCTGTAGAAATGGGCGCAGGCGCAATGAAAGCTACATATGATTTCAGAGATAGAAAACCGAAGTAAAGGCAGAAGGACTCTGAAAATGGCCTTTTGAAGAAAATAATAAAGAAGATGTTCAGAAAGTTCTCTCACGGGGGTTGCACGCATGCGTTAACTCGGCAGGACGCCTGGCTCCGAGCTTAAACAACTGCAAAACAACTTCAAACCTAGCAGATAATTAGGTGCTAAACATTAAATAACAGCTTTGCCAAGCCAGAAGGTCAGAGATAAGAGTTTACTCACTCTATCTCAGCAAGCAAACGCAGGGAAATAAACGGCCGGCTTATTAAGCCCTAATTAACGCCTAACGATGGCAAGAAGCATCAAAGTCCTTTTGGAATAGATAACATCTTTGCAGAATATATTTATTCAATCTCAAGATAAGATCTCAGAAGAGATTAAAGCAGTAAGACAGGACTTGGCTAAGTTAGGGGAAAATATATCCCATATTTAAAAAATAGCTGACATTGCTAAGAATAAAGCTTTACAAAATGAGCAGAAGATTAATGTTTTGGTTGGCCAGCTGGCAGATATTTCTGATAGAAACAGACGAGCCAACTTAATTATCTCTGGAATTTCTGAGGAGATTGCTGCTAAGAACCTCGAGGAAACACTAAGGAGCTGACTGGAGGCTCAGGCCATTAAGATTCAGCCAGAAGATATTGAGAGGGCACACCGCCTCCAGGGGAAAAGTAAGGGAGGAGCCCCACAGGACGTTATCATTAAGTTCTCTAGGGAAA